ACACCCCATAATTCATTTTCTTTTATATGTTGTCTTGTTTATGGTGCTGATTCACAGCAAAAGAAAAGTAATTAATGCATGTGCTTTTGGACTTGTATCTTTACATATGTATCTCTTGAATGATGATATAAATTGCCTCTCTGTTGTAACTTTTATCCAACTCATCCAAAAAGAGTAGCTAATGGCCAGCCTTTAGTTCTCTTTCTAAAGAGAAACTATCTTTAGAAAAGGAACTCCATATTAAGTATATGTCATTTTTAAATGTGTACCCAAGATGCAGTAATAATTTATATCAGAAATCTAGCAATATAATATCTAAAGTATAGGATGTATATCTTTGGAGTCAGTGCAATGGCTCCAAAGATAAAATCTTCTTTCTGCCAAGCCCAAGGACCTGAGTTCTATCCCTGGCCCCACATAGTAGGAAAAGAAAACCAACTCTTGCGATTTTTCCTCTGACTCCAACATGTGGCCAGCCATACCCTTCAATGTGCAAAATAAATATATGTAAAAATAAACTTAAATATGTCATTAACTTAGTGATCATAAAGAAGATATGTCTGTGTGTAAACTTTTATTATTCACCTATAATAAGCTATAACATTAACTAAGTGCTTAGAAAATTTACTTCATTGAACATTATTATATTTAATGTGTTTAGTATTGCTAGGTTGAAGCAATGGATCATTAACACAGTGGAGTGGACCAATTTGCAAACCGAAGTGGAAGGGAAGACAAGGAAGACAGAAATATGAAGCACAGTTACAAAAAGCAAGTGATTCCTTGTTCCTACTTATCAAGAAGGAGCTAAAAATGAAAAAGACTTCGATATAAAAGGTCCATTAAGTCTTCTTGGTTAATAAAGGTGTCTCACCCTATGGCAAAGGCCTAATGAAAAGTTCTGCCTTCCCATCTAAGTTATTGATCAGGCAGCCTTGGGGGAAAGCTGAGAACAGTGATGGTGAGCAGACAAATCAACAGCTGTAAACGCAATCTCTGCAACACAGCCTTTGGTTTGGTCACCGGCAAGTAGTGATGCTAGAGATAGAGAGAAACTTTTATATAGTCAAAAGATTTGTTTCGCTAAAATATCCAGTATTATAACCTAGTAAAACTATGTCATTGAGCTTTCAAACCATAACACATTGAATGACACCTCACTTTCAAATAGAACAACTTCTCCAATGCCCTAGTTACATTTTTTCACTAGCTTAAGAGATGAGAGGAACCTTCCTATGTAGTGAAGACAAAAGGTGTGACTTACCCCAAGATCCTCTTTCCCCTGATTAAAAAAAAATCCAACATCTAAATTTAAAATTGCTAACACTATTAGGGCAACAGTTTCAATAAATCAGCTTATGGAAACAGCATTGTTTTCATGAACTAATTCCTCCAATGTGATTTTATATCATTATTTTGTTGATTAGGCTGTTAATGGCGAGTTGCCTTTCCCTGTTCCCACTATTGTGGGAATTACAGGGGATGTGAATCTACTTCAGGTTCCACAGACACCAGGCCTACATGTGGTATACTAACCTATATGCAGACAAAACACACCTACACATAAAATAAAAAGTAATATATATTTTTAAATATGAAAAATAGAAATAGCACCACAGACATTGAAGAGTTTCAGAAAACCATAAGCAAACACTTTTAAAACGTATATTCAACTAAACTGAAAATTTCAGGTAGAGTTTTGTTGTTGTTGTTTTTCTTCAAGCATTAATTTTACTTTCAAGAATATTTCATAGCTTTTACAGTTCAGGTCTTACATTTTTCTTAAATTTCTCCTGAGTATTTTGTTTTACAGGCTATTTAAAATGGTTTGTCTTCAAAGGTATTCGTTGCTAGTGTATAGATTGTATGGCTAAGTCTTAATCGCATCCTTCACTCTGTTGAGCCATTTATTATCTGAATTGAATCCAATGGACTCCTTACTATTTTCTATACCAAAGACATAATCTGTAAACAGAGACAATTTTCACGTTCTTTCCTGGTGGATTTCTAACTATCCTTGACAGGACTACTATTATAATGCTGAACAAAGGATCCAGAATAGATATTCTCATATTTTCTCAGCTTTAGGGAAAAAAACAAATAAACTAGCCTATTCCAGGGTTGCAGGTAAATTCGGAGGCAAAACAAATATTTAAGAGCTTTCTCTGCTAGTCTTTCCTGTACCAGCATGATGTAAAAGCTAGAGTCTCATTAAGAGTCACAGCAGATAGCTATCCCAACTCTGAGTTTAACTCTCATGGTTAATTTTGGCATCCTCTCTTTGTAGTCTGGTCTTCCACATTTACAGCTGTACACACACATGACCTAAGTTTTGTAGAACTTTGAAGTCTGCTGACTTCACACTCAGCTAGTTCTTTATACTTCTCACTCATGAGACTGACTACTTCACAGAACATTCCGATGCATATTGATTATGGTTCCCTTAAGGTTTCTATACTCTAGAGTATTTCACTTACATTTATTCAGATGTATAACGGAAATATGAGGCTTTTGCATTTTTCAAAACTGATTTAATCTTTTAATAACCTAATCTAATAGGATGAAGACTAAATAAAAAAAAATACTTCCACTATCTATTAACACCATTATACTTTCTGGCATAAACATTGTCTGTTGTATTTAAATGTTGAAGGCTCAGAAATATATTAGCTTCCTATACTAATTGGTTGACATGGAATGCCCTGCTTTCAATAAAAAGTAAAAATTGATAAGAAATGTAACAAAAATGGAAAAAATTAAAAGCAAGTCTATTGGAAGTTAAAATTAAAAATAATGCAGTATTTTTCTGAGTTGATGATAAATCATCCAGGTTCTAATCATTCAGTAACTCATTGTGCTTTTTTTTCTCTTTCAAAAACTACATTTGTGCTGTTTTTAAAGGATATATTTTAATTATTTTAGTTTGCTGTATGCAGATGTGAAAA